CGAACCAGAATCAGAGTTGCCCAGGCAAGATGTTCCCAGGGTTCTGACACCAAGAAACAGAGATCTAACATGAGTGTTAGAAAGGTGCAGCTTTGTGATCCTACAATATAAAGAAATTTTTAACTTTTTTTTTTTTGTGGTTGGTCATTCTGTATTTCCTTCACAAAGGAAGCGAAGCACTTTTTTTTAAAAAAAAAAAAGTAGAAAGAAAAAGCAAGTCATCGTAGCAAAATTCGCACAGCCAAACATAAAAATTAGGATGTATTTATCCCACAGTTTGTTTATCTACTGGTTAAAAGGTTCATGCTTTTCAGAAAAAGCAAAATTGCAGAAAGCGAATGAGGAAGAAAGACATAAAAATCTCCCTGAATGTTGCCTCACGTTGAAATCTGTTTGTGTGTTTGGACAGCCTCGTGCTTAGTTCTTTCTTTCTCCATAAGTGGAACCATTGTATTTATACATGTTTTTCAGTCTTTTATTTTCTGACCCTTTATTTTAAACAGTAAGACTAATATCCTCGTGGGATTGAAAAAGTAATCATAGCACAACCAAACCGTTTTTAGACAGCGGTCATTCAAGAAGGGGGAAACGCTTCAGTAGAATCTGAAAAAAAATCTTTAAGTAACACGACATCATTAGCCGATTTATCGGGGCAGTCAGGAAGTGCGAGTATGAGGGTGTCGTAGAGAATTTTCTCAGTGCTTGTTTCGCGCGCACGGCAAAGCCTGGCAAGCTCCCCGTGACACATTCAATGTGCCAAACCCAGTAACAAGTCTCACGATGGAGACGTTACTGGGCCCGCTTGAACAAATCGATGAATAACGGGAGGACCGGGACCATGACCGTTTCCTTGGAGGAGAAGAGAGTGCCTTTTAGAAGAGAAAAACCGGCTAATGACTCTTTAACCTCTGGGTCTCCGCAGCGGGAGCAGTCTAGTCCTTGCCTCTACCCCTCGGAGGCCTCCCCGCCAGGCTGTGCAGATTAGCTGTTTTTTTTTTTCTTTTTTGGGTCACACCTGGCAGTGCACAGGGGTCACTCCTGGCTCTGCACTCAGGAGTTACTCCTGGCGGTGCTCAGGGGACCATATGGGATGCTGGGAATCGAACCCGGGTCGGCTGCGTGCAAGGCAAACGCCCTACCCGCTGTGCTATCTCTCCAGCCCCAGTTTAATCTGGGCTGTGCTCCTCGGGGAGCACTCCCACCCCTGATCCCCGCCCGAGTAGCCTTTGCACCACCCCTTAGGGTGGGTTCTGGTCATCTTTTTCCTCTTCACGCTGTTGTCGTGGCGCTTGCGGGCTGTTTCATAGATGTCCCTGTCGTTCCACCCGCCGCCCTCCCCTCTCAGCTCCCCCTCCTGGCGGCCCGTGTTGAATGGAGCCCCTGGTCCACGCGCCCCTCAACTTCCTTGCCAGCGGTAGTCAGCTCTCGTGGGTTCCAGTTTGCGTTGTGCCCGTGACAGTCTCCCCTCCCACGCATTCAGCAGAACAACCTTTTGAAAAGATAGAGCCAGATAGCGTTACTCTCCGTGAGGCTTTCCTTTGTGCTTGAAATAAAAGTGGAATTAATTGCTGCCCCCATCCCCCCCCCGCGGTGTGCCCCTTGCCCGCGGGCCGCCTCGCTCTTCTCTCCCCCTGACGGCTCCCACGAGATGCCCAGATACATCCAGATTTCTCCCCCCACGTAGAGCAGGCTTGTTCCCTCCCTCACGCCTTTGCACCGGCTGTTCCCTGTCCTGGGCTGCACGTGGTGGCCCCTGGGTGTTTGTTATTTAGGTTTCCGAGGACACCTGCTCCCGTCTCTCCTGGGACCGTGGCTCCTGGTCCTTGGCGGCCCCCGCCTGTTTTCTTGGTGGCCTTTAGTGATCTCTGTGTATATTTAAGCCACCTGCATTCACTTTTTGCTTATTCCCCTCTTCTTCCCCTCCCGAGACTTGACCTTTCCCACGGCCGTGGGTCTCGTCCGTCTCGCCGACGTTTCATCTGAAACAGAGGCCACTGCTCGGATCTGCTTCGTCCAAGTAGGAAAGTGAAGTGTGGGCATCCTTCAGATGGCGAGCTGAGTTTCAGATTCCAGGTGGCAGGCACTGCCAGTTCCTGTCGGGAGGCAGGAGGGTCACGTGGCCGAACGCCACTTTCCTAATCCTGGCTCAAGCCCAAGGCCCCGAACAGTTCAGAAGCGGAGCAGTTCCCCAGAGATGACAGACGAGGTAGTCAGGAACCCTCAAGTCAGACGGGTCCCGAGGCTTTACTTAGTAATAATGTCAGCCATGGAGCTCTGTAGGTCATTTGCTCCTCGTAGCCCAAGAAGACACTTGAGGGTGAATTTTTTTCCCCAAAATCACTGGAGGTTTTCTCTGTTAGTGCGTGTTCTCCCTTGGTCATGTACTTCCTCTCTTCCTCTCCTCTCACATCTTTCTAAGTAAGTTTCAGTAAAAACGATCATGCTTCATGGAAAAAAAAGTTTGCTGTAGTTATTGTTGGTTGAATATATTGGTCACACCCGGAGGTGCATGGGGGCTGTACCTGACTCTGCTCTGGAGCGACCCTCGTGATGCTTTGGTGACCAGACGTGTTGCCAGGGATTGACCTGGAGTCAGCGTGCAAGGCCAGTGCCTTATCCGTTGTACTGTCTTGATGGCTCTAATACTGTGGCATGTTAGGTCTTGACTGTCGCTAGACAGCACATTCTATTTTATGATGCCATTATTTGTTTTATGTCATGTTTTCAAATCGATGCGGTGCTGTGGGCTAGAAAAACTATCATCTAAGGGAACTATTATAGTGCCTTTAATTAGTAAGCTGTGCCCTGAACAAATTTTCATACTGCAAAGTAAAGGAAAATGTGTACTTCAACCTAGAACACATTAAAATACACTTTAAGTTTCAGTTTCTAGTTTAGTTTTGAGCGCAACCAGATTCCGTTTGCTTTTTGGGGCATGGGGGAGGGCTCCACCAGCAGGGCCCAGGGGCTACTCTGGGTGCTGTGTGGGGCGCACAGCCAGGGGTGCTTGGCAGGGCGTCCTGTGTCTGCGGACAGAACTCAGGCCTCCCGCAGGCGAACCTGCACGCCAGCCATTGCGCTTTCTTAGCTCTCTGGTCCTATTCCCTCCCTCCCTCCTTTTCCCTTCCTTTCCTTCCTTCCCTTCTTTTCTGGTGGTGCCCAGCTGTACGCAGGGCCCACTCCTGGTTCTGCACTCAGGGATCGTTGCTGGTGGTGCTGGGGGAACCACATGGCCGTGGATCACATGTGTTGCCAGGGCTCGAGTCCAGGTGGGCTGTGGCATCTTTCTTCTCTCTGGCTTCCAACGTTGCTATTTTACTGTCCCTTGCACACCGGGAGGCATAATGGACCCAGTGAGTGATGCTAATACCTCTGACTCAGATTCTAGTTTGGTTCTTTTCTCTTGCACATTTAAGTCCTTTTGGGGAAACGGGCAGTAAATCTAACATGAGGCCCGACTTATATTTTTCTTGTTGTTTGTTTGGAGTGCCAGGGATTGAGCCTGGGGCTCCTACAGGTGAGGTGTTTGTCGTTTCCTCCTCCTCTGTCCCCCCCCCTCCCCCCCAGCCACATACCCAGGTGAGTTGGTATTTGATTGTCATTATTTCTTGAATTTATTCTTTAATGACTGCCACCTTTCAGAGTGGCCATCTTAAAGAAGAAGACAAATAAATGGGACAAAGAATGAATGAAAAAATCCCCAGAAAAACAAAGTCGCCCTCTAGGAATTTGTGCATTTATTCCAGTAAGCTTCTGTCCTTGAAACCACTTTTATAGATTCCTTTTTCAGAAAGGCATCAGTCTCAGCCCTGGAAATATGAAGGAAAATCTGTCCTTTTGGGTATAAAAATCTCTTTTAAGTAAGCTAAATGAAGACAACTTCCCCATTTGGCTTTAATTGATGACGGCCACGCTATCTTTATCTGACTGAAGCTCTGACCTGGAGGATTGTGCAACCACAGCACACGATATCAGTCCTTGTCGGGAACAGATGCTTGGATAACTGTGAAGTAACAGATGAAAACCCCAACAGCTCGGGGCACCCGCCCTGGCCCCTCTCAGCTCTGCGTCTCCCCCCTAGCGCAGAGAATGACGCCGCCGCCGCCTTCTGCAGGGTGCCAGAGTGAGAGGAAGTGACTTACCTTCGGGGAAAGAGAACCATCTGGAACCAGAAAAAGGCCAGAAGTGTGCTCTTTTGAGTATGAGTGAAAGCTGGGAGTCTATGTTTAAAATATGAGCGTAAACGACTGTCCTTTTACAATTCTTGGCATTGAAGACTGCAGACCAGTTTGGGATCTATTTTAAAAGTTGAGGTGCACATTTTTGGAGAAGGAGTTGAAGCAGTGTTAGTGCTTACAAGTTTTTTTTTTTGTATATATATATTTTTTGGGGGGGTGAGATAAATGAATTATTTGTTCGAGGGCAAGTTATTTTGTCTTTGTCTCCATGGCCATTAAAAACTTCCAGTACTATTGGCCAGTGTTTATTTATTGGTTATTTTTTTTTGGGGGGGGGCACACGCAGTGGTGTTCAGGGCTTACTCCTGGCTCTGAGCTCAGGATCACTCCTGATGGGGCTCCTCTGTGGTTTTTGGGGATGGAACGTGGGTTGGCCACATGAAAGGCAAGTGCCCTACCTGCCGTACTATCTCTCCAGGCCCGTGTGTTCATTTATGTCTCTTAAGGAGCACTTTTATAACACATTGATGGTGGCACTGCAATTTGTGTTAAACCACAGCCAAGTGAGAGCCACCGGTGGTCCATGCCAGCGTTCATATACTAGGTGGACGTATCTGTCATAACTAGGCGGTGGTATTGATTTTGTTCTTTTAAACCGCATTCTCCCTCCTGGTCATACTCGGGGGGAGAGCGTTGACAGGCCCCAGTGTCCCTATCCACTGCTTGCGTGGCCTGTCCTCTCCCTGGACACGCAGTCCTTGCCCCTGCATGCCCGCCCGGGGTGGTGTTATTAAAGTGGCCTTTCTGGTTCCTTCTTTCCAGGTGCACGTCATTGACTCCCGGACCCAGCTGCGACCGGTTTAAGCTGCACATCCCGTATGCAGGGGAGACCCTGAAATGTGAGTGACACCACGCGTGTGCGCAGAAGGTCGCGGTGCTGCCGGGGGGGCTTTGGGTTTAGTTATGATCTCTGGCGTGTGGTGTTATTTCCTTCCTACGACCGATCGCTGGACTCCTCAAACAGTCCTAGGTCTGGTCAGAGGAAGGCAGTTGGCCGGGATCAGATTGTGGTGAGCTAGGCTGGGCCCCGAAATTCATCGTGTTCTACACCCCAGGGACAGGGGCCGTTGTTGCCAACTTTGCTGGAACTGCGGCTGCCAGACCAGCATCCCTCATGGCCTCAGAGCCCCAGGCGAGAAGCGGGTGGGCTGGGGCCAGGGTGTCTACTCAGTGGCTTTGAAAGCTGGGGTCCCCATGCCAGTGACTGCCCAAGCTACATCGTGGCCAGAGAAGAGGGACATGGTCCGGGCACGGCAGCTAGGGGCACACCTATGCTGTCTTCAGAGAGTGAGAAAAGTCAGAACCTTCAGGGGTCTTCATCCATGAAGTCATTCAGTCAGTTCCGTAAAAATCCACAGAGAGGGACTGGAGCGATAGCACAGCGGGGAGGGCGTTTATTTGCCTTGCACGCAGCTGACCTGGGTTCGGTTCCCAGCATCCCATATGGTCCCCTGAGCACTGCCAGGAGTAATTCCTGAGTGCAGAGCCGGGAGCAACCCCTGAGCATTGCTGGGTGTGACCCAAAAAGCAAAAATCACGATCATGATCATCCTGTTTTTTTGTCGATTGCCTCGAGCAGGCCCCAGTAACCTGTCCTTCGTCCTAGCCCTGAGATTTTAAAAGAGCCATATTCAAGACTCTTTCAGGGTTAAGAGAATGAGCCCCATCATTGTTACTGGTGTTTGGCATATTGAGTACGACACGGGGAGTTTGCCAGACTCTGCTGTGCGGGCAGGATACTTTCGGTAGTCTGCCGGGTTCTCCAAAGTAGCACTGTCCTCCCGTTGTTCATCGATTTGTTCGAGTGAGCCCAGTAACATCTCCATTATGAGACTTGCTGTTACTGTGTTTGGCATATTGAATACGCCACGGGTAGCTTGCCGGGCTCTCCGAGAGGGGCGGAGGAATCGAACTTGGATTGGCCATGTCGGCCGCATGCAAGGCAAATGTCCTACTGCTGTGCTATTGCTCCAGATAAATAATAAATAATAAAGAGCAAAAATAAAATAAAATGAAAAGGATCATAAAAAAATGAAGAGAATACCATGGCCATGAAGGCCCTGTGTTCCCACGTGTGTCGCCTGCATGGTGTGGGTGTCCACAGGTACAGCCCCACACCACCATGGAGGTACCCCGCACCCCCCATGTCGGTGCCGTGTCGCATCTTGCCCGCCCATGTCCCTGCGCAAGACGTTTTCAGTGTCGGCCGCTTTTTCAAAGACCCCAAACGCCGCATGGGCCAGCAACATGCAGGCGGCGCCAGAGGTGTGTGCAGCCCTGCTGGAGCGCCCAGCCTGCCTGGTTTGTCACCGGGGGTGGGTCCCAGCTAAAAGCTCCTGTTCGTTTTTTTGTGTCTGTGCGCCGTTCTGCCCGGTGGCCCTGCTCCCCACCAGGCGGGAACCAACCGCAGCTTGTGGAGGAGATGGTGACCGTGGGCTCCGTTAGAATCGGTGTTCTTCCCGTCAGGGATGTCCTCTCTGAAGTGGAGTTGAAGAATGGACTGTTGGAGCGGACGGACCAGTGGGTGTCTGTCAGCCACAGCTGTGCGTGTCTTCAGTTCAGACCCCCAGTGGCTGCTGCCCAGGGGGTCAGCCTGCTTTTACAGGGTCACAGGAAGGCGCTTTGCTTTAAAATTAAAAAAAAAAAACAACAAATTCAGCGCTCAGTTCTATAGAGAATGGCTTTCTTATAAATAATATACTGTATATATCTGTTTCTTGTCAGTCTTAAATATTATCTTCCCCCCCCCCCCCCCCCCCCCCCCCCCCCCCCCCCCCCCCCCCCGTCACCCCCAGTGGAACTCAGGCCTTATTCCTGGCTGTCCCCTCAGGCATCACTCTTGGTGGGGCTCAGGGGACCATAGAAGGGGATTGAACCCAGGTTGGCTGCAGGCAAAGCAAACATCCTACCCGCAGGACTGTTGCTCTGACTCCAGATATTATCTCTCTGCTTTTACATAACACACCAGCCTGCTTGTGTCACCATATACTCCATCTATCCTCTTTTTTTCTTTAATTGTAGCACCACTTTTGGTGTCTGGGTTGATTACCTGATAGTGCTCTTTTGCATATTAAAAAAATATATATATAATCTTGTATTGTACAGTTAAAGTAACAATCCCTACAGATTCCCCGTCGGTCTCTACCATGGAATTAGCCTGGTTATTCCTTAAATGCAACCTCGAAGCAGTTGTGACAGGCATGTTGGCTCCTTCTGTCATTTCCCTGGAAACCACAGTGCCTGTCAGCCCCCTCGTGTACAGCCGAAGCTGTTAGCTGCTGCCCTTCCTGCCCTTCCTGGCATTAGCTCCTGTGTGCTTTTTGCATGGTCAGGACTGACAACTGGGTGTTCTCAGCCTGGATTGTTTTGCATGACTGTTCCCTAGGCCTGTTCCTGCTGTGTCACCACCAGAACTGTTGCCTCTATTGCTGCTGGACTCGGCCTGTTTCACGACAGGAGTGTGTGTGTGTGTGTGTGTGTGTGTGTGTTGCAGGTTTTCCTTTATTGCTGCTGGACTTGGCCTGTTTCATGACAGGTGTGTGTGTGTGTGTGTGTGTGTGTGTGTGTGTGTGTGTGCAGTTCCTCCTGAAGGGGCAGCCTCTCGCTCACCGTGCCAGAGCACTGCCTGACGCCCTCCCCCTGCTGGGACCCTGCACCCGGAGGCAGTACCAGGCCCTTTCATTCCCGGGAGCTCTCTCTTGCCCTTGCTCTCTCTGTTCTTGTCGTTCCCTGTTCTTGCTTTAGGAGCACAGTATCTTTTCCCCACTCTCGGAGCTTACCTTAGGCCCTGGACTTAGGGGTCTGTCCTGGAGGACATATGTGGAGGAACGGAGGGTCGAACCCGGGTCAGCAGTGTGCAGGGTAAGCGCCCTTCCTGCTCTGCTGCCACTCGGGCCCCAGGGCGTACTGTCTCTTTAATGCTTTTAAATGATGTTGAAATTTTTTTGCTAGTTTCCTGGATTATGCAAATACCCCAGGTAGTATGTTTTCGCTAGCATCTTCCTTGTGTGTTTTTACTCTCTTCAGCTGGAGGGTGGGCTTTGGTCACCCACTGCTGTGTGCGGCCGGGGGACTCTGCTGGGGGCGTCTGTGTGTGGGAGGGAGGGGTCTCCCCACTGCGTTGGTGAGTGGCGCCTCCCTCTGTGATCTGAGCAGCCCTGACAGAGCTTTCTTCCTCGGGCTTCCTTTGTGCTAATTCTCTCCCGAGTAGCTGGCTCGCCCCCTCCTTCCCCACCTCCCTTCCCGCTGCTCAACTTTCCCAGTATTTTGGCTCTCAGGCTGATACTTGGCCAGCCAGACTGGGTGGCCCAGTGGTCAGGCCCAGCAAGAGGCTGCATGTGGATTTGCCGCATGGAGGCCACCAGGCCCACCCTGGCAGTATGTGTGGGGACCACCCGGGCTGCATCTTGTGACTCCACGTCCTTTTGTGCCAGGGGATTGCACTTGGGGCTTCCACATGCCAACCCTGCACTCCTGGCCTCGGTGCCATCTCCCTGGCCCTATATTTCTTTGAAAAAAAAAAAATCTTTCCAAATCTTCCTTTCTCCCTGGGTTGGCCATGGGTGTCTGTCGTGCCCGGGAGGCCGCGTGGAGCCAGGACTGAAATCCCGAGTCTCATGTGTACGCGAGCCGCATGCCCAACCCGTGTTGGATTCTGTGACGGAGCCACACCGTGTGCCTGAAACGTCACTGTTAGCAGAACTGTAGACCACGTGCTCTTCAAACTGTGTGTGTGCTGATCCTCGAGAAGAGGAAACCCCTTGTTCCTCTCTCTGCCATCATTCTATTGCTGCCCTTCTGCGGGGGGTGGGCACACAGATCTTGCCACTAAACTTCTTGTTCCTCTCCCAGTTCCCGTGCTCGGTCCCGCGCGCCAGTCCTGCGGCGCCTTCCCCTGGCCGGCCGCGCGGAGTGAAGGGTTCCCAGGACAGATGGCTTCCTCCTCATGAGTGGTCTCTTCCTCGCATTATTGCAGCCAGAGATTTCTCTGCTACTCACCCATCTGTATTCTGCCTTCCAGGAATTTGTTGTGACTTCTCATCTGATTGCCATTCTTTCCTCTTTATCATTCTCCTGCTGGTTTAATTTAAAAAAAAAAAAACAACTAAAAAATTTTTTTTTCTGTTCCTTTGTTTCCATTTAATGGGAAGGGTGGGTGTCAGAAGCGGAAGGAATGAAGGTGGAGTTTTTAGTCTTTAGACTCTTTCTGGTACGAGTTTCGGTTAGGAGGCGCTTACTGATATACTGTCATTACCGTTGGATTTTCTCAGGAAACCTCTTATCACATTCATGGTTTGTCACTCTCCATGTGAACATAGAACACTGGTATGCGCCATATGTTTTAGTTAATTATGCTTTATCAAACTGGCTTGATATCCTCGTTACAGACGATGGACTTAATTTAGTTCCCACAATGCTCTGTTGCAACTGAATAGTCAGTCGATTTGGGGGCCGAGGTTCCTGCGCCTTTAGGTGGGATTCAGGCAAGGCCCAGCCAGCCCAGAGCCAAACAGCAGGAAAAGGCAGCCGCTGAAGCACACCGAGTTGAGTTTTCTTCTCCTAAATCCTAGACATTATTTCATGGACGAGGGCTTCAGGAACGATGGGGACCCCATGAATAAACTTAACTTTAGAACAGGTTGTGAGGGGAATGTATCTTGTGGAAAGCAGACAGACTGGAAGTGTTAGGTACTTCCAAGGCTCTGAGAAACGATAGTGTTTGGGGTGCTATTTTACCTCTTCTTCTAAAATGTGGCCGCCAAAACTCTGACACTGGGCGCAGTGTACTTTGAGGGTACCGCAGTGATTCAGTGTGGACGCCAGCCTGGAAACCTGGTTTAAATATCCAGCTGGAAACGGTTTTCAAGTCTTGGGTAAAAGTGTGGTAGAAGGGGTCTGATGTGACAGTACGGGGAGGGCGTTTGGCTTGTACTGGCTCACGTGAGTTCGATCCCCAGCACCTCATAGGGTCCCCCAAGCACCGCCCAGGAGTGATTCCTGTGTGCAGAGCCAAGAGTGACCCCTGAGCATCGCCGGGTGTCGCCCCCAAACCAAAGGGGGGAAAAGTGTGGTTGTTGGACTGGAGAGTGAGTGCGGCAGTAAGTGCCTGTGTTAGCACACCTGAGTTTAGTTCCGGAGTCCCATAGGGACCCCAAGCCTGGTCACGAGTGACTCCTGAGCACGGATCCAGGAGTAAGCCTTGAACACTGGGGTATGGCTCACAAAACCAAATTTTAAAAAAATGTAGATTCACAGTGGCGAATACTGGCGAATACTATCAGCCACAAAAATTATGAAACAAGCCACTTTTCTTTGAATAGTTGAAATATTGACAAAAATGGAAATCAGAACAAAAAAAAGATCCTTTTTTTGCAAATCTGCACCCATAGATATTATAAATGCCAGGGACTACACAGCAAGCTCATTTTACTGATCATAATTTGTATACTCTTTAGGCTGTGGGCATTTAAAATTCCTTTCTTTGTAAGAGGACTTATTTTAAATTATTTCAAAGTTGATTCTGTTTAGTTTTTATAAATATTTAATCGAGGAACTTGTTGAATCATGATGCATTGGTCATAGCCATAGTGTAGAATTCTCTTTTTTTTTCTTTTTGGGTCACACCCGGCAATGCTCAGGGGTTACTCCTAGCTCTGCACTCAGGAATCACTCCTGGCGGTGCTCGGGGGACCATATGGGATGCTGGGACTTGAACCCGGGTCAGCCGCGTGCAAGGCAAACGCCCTACCCACTGTGCTAATGCTCCAACCCCCATAGATAGTGTAGAATTCTTAAATATCTAGTTAACTTCAATAATTAGTAAAATCCACCTTGTATCAGAGAAATTCATGGGAGCAGAAACTTCCATAAAGTTATTGTGGAAAAGGTAAAGGTAAAGGTAAAAGCCCTCCCGTTGATCGTCGATTTGCTCGAGCGGGCCCAGTAAGGTCTCCATTGGAGACTTTGTTGTTACTGTGTCTGGCATATCGAATACTCTCGGTAGCTTGCCGGGCTCTCCGAGAGGGGCAGAGGAATCGAACTCGGGTCGGCCATGTTGGCTGCGTGCAAGGCAGACGCCCTACCCGCTGTGCTACACGAAATAATTTATTTGTAAGTGAGATTTTTATATCGCTTTAAAATTAATGTTGGCGGGCCAGAGAGATAGTCCAGTGGGTAAGGCCCCTCTCTTGTACTGGCTGGCCCAGGGTTGCTCCCTGGCACTCCATTTGGCCTGCAGCCTGCCAGAAGTGTTCCCTGAGCACAGGGCCAGGAGTAAGTCCTCAGCACCACTGGGTGTGGCCCCCAAACCAACAAAACAAAATGTTCGGGCTGGAGAGATCATACAGGGGTTAAATGCTGACTCTCATGCCGCTGACTCTGTTTGCTCCCTGGCATCGCATTTGGTCTCTTGAGGTGCTCAGGGGTATGGCCCCCAACAAAAACAAACAAAAATTAAATGTGAAATCAATGTTAGTGTCACTCCTTCTTCCCCCGCGTCCCCTGTCTGTTGATGCCCACGGGCCCCTGTCTGTTGATGCCGTCCCGAGGTCACTGTACTCCTGCCTCGAGGCGTTTGTGGAGATCACGCTCCTTCAGTTGCAGAACTTATGTGTGTGCTCGTGGGTGTCACAGCTCAAGTTGTGATGCTCAGTGGGGGCTCACTGTGGGGCTCCCAGCAAGGGGGGGTTGTCACACCTGCCCCCATCTCTCCCTGGCCCCCAGTGCCACGCTCTCTGAGAGGGTCATGCCTTTAGTTGGGATCCTTGCATGTGCATGCATGCACACACGCACACACACACGCAAACACACAGGCACACGCGCACACACACACATGCACACACACATGCACACACACACGCGCACACACACACACACACACACACACACACACACACACACACCCTGGTTGTGGAGTGGTGCCCGGGATCACATTGCCAGAGACACAAGTAACGGAGTTGTCAGGATCATGCCTAATACATGTGGTGGCACCAGGGATTGACCTCAGCCTCATGCTTGCAAGAAACTTTGAAACACCCGGCAGTTTCCTGGCTCCCTGCTCTCTTCTTTTTTTGACCCCACTGTCCACTCCCTAGCTGTGCTCAGGAGGTCCTGGGGCATCACCAGGGATTCTCTGTCAGACTGCAAGGACCCGGAGACCCAATGCTCCACGCTGCCGGAGGTGCCAGGCCTTCCTGGCCGTGCTTGGAGGAGCCCGGGGCGCTGGGAATCGAACCCAGGTTGGGCGCACGCCAGGCTGTACTGCCTCCTGCCCTCCCCTCTTAAAAAACTCGGTTATTTTCGTTTAAAGGAAACATTACAAGGATCAAACTTTTGGCATGTGTTCCCACTTCATCTTCAATAGTGATGATCAATAGTGTCATCATGGTCGTTATCACTCGTTGGTGATTAATGTTAGCCATCTGCAGCCAACACCCTTTCATCTTAGAGACACAAATGCAGTGATCTACAACAGACATGTATGTGTATTTGTTATTTCAGACGTCCATGGTTTACAGTACCATTAGGGGTAGGTTTTCATGCATAACACATTCTCCCCCGCCCCACCCCCAATGCACTCTTCATTGGAGATGTCTTCCCTCTACCAACCAAGCAAATGCATTTTAATAAATGTATCTACCTAGTGAAACAAGTTCTTTAACAAGTTCTTTCAAAAGCAAATACCTAATCTGAAGATTTTCTAGTTTAACAGGTCTGGTGAAAGAATTATCAGAAACTAAATGCTTATAACACTAATGTACCATGTTACCTCAACTATAATACAATACATTAAAAACATAAAAATTGGGGCTGAAGTCATAACATAGCTTGCCTTGCACATGGCCAACCTGGGGTCATTCCTGGCACCCCCATGGCCCCTCGATTCCCACCAAGATTGAGTCCCGAGGGAGCCAGAAGCAAGCCCTGAGTGCTGCTGGGTGTGGTCCCCAAATAAAGAAAAGAAATGAAATTAGATTTACAGTCATTAGCATAGTAAAAATGGAATAAAATTTTCTGTTGGCAGTGTGGAGGGAAAGCGTGCATGGATGTGTGGATCTTAGGGTTCAGCTTTCTGTGGCGGTGCTGGACACTGCGCCCAGGGCCCCCCACAAGCAGGGATCACTGGCCACGTCCTGGCGCCTATATTGCGATTTCTGTTGGTTGGAGCAGAATGTTACAAACAATGTGGCATTCTGTTATTTGTCTTAGTAATAGAAGTGTTATTTACAACAGAAACGCAGTCTTTAGAAATTATTTAGTATACAGAATTTGCAATCGGAACATTGTTCTTGGCCGTTCAGAAAGCAGGAGGGACATTGGGGACTCTGCAGATTAGGACTCTGTATCAGTTTTGCCTTCATTCTACTCAGCCTCCTCACGGTAGATCAATGGGAAGAGCATAAACTCGAGTTTCATACGTCAGAGTATTTTGTAGATCAGAAAACGTTTCCTCTCTTAAATCTTTATCTCTGAGTAAAGGAGATTGTGTGCACTTAATGATTGAAAATGAAATATGAGAATTAATTCTACCGTGACTTTTCGAATGAATTCCTACAGAACAACCCACATTCAAACTTAAATAATTGAAACAGAACAGAAACACAGACCAGAAAATTATGAACGTTAGGAATGATGTTTTTGTTTTCGCTCTTTTTTTTTTTTTAAAGTTTTTGGGGCACTATAAAGGATGCTGGGGATTGAACCCAGGTTTGCTGGGTGCAAGGCAAACGCCCTTCCTGCTGTCCTGTCACTCCTCAGCTCATTTTTTAAAGTCAAGAGGCAACTGCCAGGCAATGAAAGAGTTGCTACTTTGTGTTAAGATTCTCATGGGAAATATCCAAATGTATCTGAATGAAAGAGCTGTTCTCAAATTTACCAGTTGCAGGAGTCTGGTACTTGAGGGGAAAGTGGATTTTTTAAAAAAAATTTTATTGAGTCACCATGAGATAGTTACAAGCTTTCATGTTTGGGTTACACCATGATCAGACACCCTCAAAAATATGGAACCATCCTTGCGCAGGGGCCATGCTAATCTTCTATGTATTGTTCCAATTTTAGTATATGTGCTGCTGAAGCGAGCACGAAGGTGGATCTTTAGTGGTGAGGATTGATTGAAATAAAATACAGGGTGAGGGCTAGAATGGTGCCACCATAATGTGACTACGAGGTGCCAGCTCTCCCCAGATGCAGAGGGACTGCAGTCAACTTCCTGTAAATGCACACTGGGGCCATGTGGCCCCCTGTGACCCACCAGGATATTCCAAGGGGGCCGCAGGTGAAAATCGCATACATGGGGGTCCGAGGTGCAAAACTAGCGTTCTGCCTGGCAGCCCGGGGACCACACGGAGGCAGTGGGTGTTGGAAGGGCCGGAGAAATGCTGCCCCACCATCTCAGTCGAAGAAACTGCGTTTGTGCATTCGAACCCCATGGGGCTTGAAGCTGCTTCCCTCCCATTCTGTTTCCAACCTTCAGCCGAGTGTGGGGGGTTTAAAAGGACTTCTGTTTGTGGAATGGATCATGTTCACTCTTTGGATCTGAGAATCCTTGGTTTGAGGACAAATGACAGAATTCTTGGGGGGGGAGGGGTATCCTCAGCCTTCTAAGGTCTTGGTGTAACTGCATGGAGAGGGTATTGAAATAAATTAAGTTCTCCCAAGCGAGTCTGTGGCTAATAAATCAAATTGTTTGCTAAAAAAAACACTGGTTTCACATTTGAAAATTTCTTTGTTTAAATTGTCTGTTCTTCAAACTAACAATTTATTTCAATCAGAGACTGTTTGGTTATGAAGAAGCCCACTGGAACAAACTCCAAGCGTTTGTTTGTCCTTTCTAGGGAATTAAAGAAATCCCATAGTGTCCAGGAACAGAGACCAGAGCCAGGCCTCTTAGAGTGGGTGGGAGGGGGGCCACGGCAGCCCCTCATATTGTCTTTCCACATTTACTCCCTTCGCTGTACCCCCACCCACTGTGTCTTTGCATATAGAATGAAAATGGCTTCCTGGGTCTCATTTAGAAATGCAGTTCCAGGCCTCCAGAGACAGCCAGTGGCCTCGAGTCTCAGTCGCTGGAAGCCCAAGTACCAGGTGTCTGCTGCTGGAGGGTCGGTTATGTGCCCGAGTCTAGGAATGCATCATCAGCTTGGTTTCCAGAGACCAGATTTAGTCCAAGGTCAGCCTGGGCAGGGCAGGTACCCAGGGAGGGCCCCTTGATGCTGTTGCAGGAATTCTTTACTTATTTATTTTTTGTTTGTTTTGAATTTTTTGGTGGTGGTGGTGGTGCTCAGGGCTTCCTCCTGGCTTTCTGCCTTGGGCTCACTTCTGGAGGCACTCAGGAGATTGCAGGTACAGGGATCGAACCCAGAGCAAGGCAAGAACCCTGCCCACCACTGGGCTCTCTTTCTGGCCCCCTGTTTCAGAATTGTACTTTGTCTTAGCCAATCAGTGCAGTTAACTTAGAGGACTGTGTTTCCTTCTGCCCTCTGCACACGGTACACATGTAAAAATATTGTCAAACAGAAGGGAGGCACAGAAAGGGAAGAACCCCTCAGGTGGTGGTGAAGTATGTGGAGTCGGCTCAAAGAGATACTAAAGTTCTAGGAATTAAATCTTTTTTTTTTTTTGTTACTGCTTTGTTTTGGCTGGAGTGATAGCACAGCGGTAGGGCATTTGCCTTGCGTGCGCAGCCAGCCCAGCCGAGCCGGGTTCGATTCCTCCGCCTCTCTCGGAGAGCCCGGCAAGCTTCGAGAGTATCTCACCCACACGGCAAAACCTGGCAAGCTCCCCGTGACGCATTCAATATGCCAAACACAGTAACAACAAGTCTCAAAATGGAGACATTACTCGGCCCGCTTGAGCAAATCGATGAACAACAGGAGGACAGTGTATTTTGTTTTGGGGCCTCACCTGTTGGTTCTCAGGGCCTGTTTAGCTTCTGGCTACTCCTGGCAGTGCTTGGGGGTGGGGTGGGTTGTGTGGGGGACCATGCCTAATGCCAAGGATCCAGCCTGGCCTCCTGCAGGCAAAGCATGAACTGCACCCCTGGGAGCTGTGCGGCTGACCCCTGAATGAGATCTGACCTCTGAGAACGTTGGTGTGTGTTTGCCATCACACCTTACGTTTTGGTCATTGATCAATAGACCAGAGAAAGCCGATGGTGGCGGCTGTCACTGTGGGCAGCTTTGTTGGAACGGTGATTTTATTTTATTCTTGATGAGGAATTTCTTGTGTAAATAAATTTTGGGGAAACGTTTCCGAGAAATCCTCCAGCTATAACCTTCCCCCGCACCCCTGCCACATTCCAGGTTATATGACTGCCATTTCTAACCCCCCACACCCCCCGACACCCCAATTGGAGCTTAGCTAACAGCAATCTTGGTCGGTTTTCTCATTGCCTCTCTCCAATCCATTTCCTTTCCTTCGTTGGTTTTGCTTTGTTCTTGCTGTTTGGGCTTCAGTAGAATGAATAAGAATATAATAGTGAAAAAAGAAAAAGAAAATAATAGTGAAACGGCCCGACTGTGGCATCCTTGCTTCTCCATCTCTACTTTTCTAGTAGATGTGTTTTCCTGAGCACTCTGGGGCTGGCTTGCTCGTCGTGGTCTCCAAGATCACCCGCAAGGACAGGGACCCTTAAGCTATGACTTGTAACAGTTGGACTTAGTTAAAAATTGGACACGAGTGCCTAGGGACTTAGTATTTTGCTTCATGCAGAGAGGCATTATAATTTTCCTTGGTAGCATCGTTCTTTTTACTTTTATTTTTATCTTCTTAAAAGATTCATTTACTTAAGGATTATTATTATCTCGCAATTCAAGGTATTTTTAGAGGCTAATTAGGGAGGCAGGTCACCTTTGATTTCGTGAATGTTCTAAAAAATGCTCATTGAAAGGCAAGTTAGAAGTGCTAATTTTGTGGATTAGACATTATCTCTACCTTTGATTTTGAGGATTCCTTTGTCCAGGTGTTTCAGAATATTTTATTTCCTTGGAGTTCATGGAATATTAGGAAATAAAACTTAAGTATAACATTTATAAAAGATTTATGAAATCAGTCAATGTTAGAGCAGACAGTATAGATGTGGAGCGTCTATAAAATATGACCTTGATCCTGATTATAGTTTATTAAAATGACATAATTGCTGAGCTGTTCATTGAACTTTTTTAGAGTCAGGCTTATTTACATCCATGCCATGTAATAACGCATTAGCCCAGGAAGCAGATTTATACACTGCTGTTTTTATACAAATTTCAGTGAGGTTTATTTTACATATAATACAATGTACTAATTTTTAAGCAGGCTGTTCCAAACATATTGGCCTTTGGAAACACCTGCATAATCACATCAACATAGAATATTGCCATCCCCCCCAATAGTGCGTTTCCTCCCTCTAAGTCAGCCCCCTCGACCAGTTCCTGCCTTCCCAGGGACCCTTGTTGTCTCGCTGTGCTCAGTTTTGCCATTTGTAGAATCCTTGTGAATGTGATGATACACGTGCTGGCCGTGGCCCACGCTCCTTTCATTCAGCACATTGTTTTTGAGGTTCAACTGCATTAAATCTCCATATCGGTACTTGGTTCCTTCTGTTTCTCTGCACTAGACTATTGTGTGGCTGCTTTATCGACCACAGAGCTCATTTGTCCTACTGAAAGCTCTGTGAGCTGTTTCCAGCTTGGGTTCTCATGGCTAAAGCGGCTTGCACCTTTCTTGGAACACGTGTTATTTTTCTGGATTGCATTTTCATTTTCTTGGGCCTGTATCTGAGAGTCATACTGTTGTGTATGTTAAGTGTTTGTTTAGCTTTGTGAGGAACTGGAGGAACTGTTACACTGGCTCCAGAGTGCCTAGACCCTTTTTTTTTTTTTTACATCCTTTCTAGTGATTTTGAGCAATTTAATTCTGTCATATTCTTGCCACCATTTTGATATTGATTTTTTTTATATTGCATCCATGTTAGTGGATGTGTATTGGTATCTCATTGTGTCTGTAATTTACGTTTCATGTTGTTACTGACCTTTAGGGTTTGGTGTTGAAGTATCTGTCCAAATCTGTTACTCAGTATTTGAATGGGATTGTTTGTTGTTCTTTATTTATTTATTTATTTATTTTGTTTGTTGTTCTTTATAAGGGCTCTTTATAGACCCTGTAAAGAAATTGTCAATTTGTCAGTATTTTATCCCAATCTGTGACTTCCCTGTTCATTTTCCTATTGTACTCTTTGTAAAGGTAAAAGGTAAAGGCCCTCCCGTTGATCGTCGATTTGCTCGAGCGGGCCCAGTAACGTCTCCGTTGGAGACTTTGTTGTTACTGTGTCTGGCATATCGAATACTCTCGGTAGCTTGCCGGGCTCTCCGAGAGGGGCGGAGGAATCGAACTCGGGTCGGCCATGTTGGCCGCGTGTAAGGTGAACGCCCTACCCGCTGTGCTATCGCTCCAGCCGTACTCTTTGTAAAAGTGTAAATTTTTAATAAAGATCAAGTCCACTTTTATAATACTTCGGTCACATATGCTTTTGACTTCTTGTGTAAACTATTTTATATGCCCATCTTTAGATTTTTTTTTCTTTCTTTTTTGGGTCACACCCGGAGATGCACAGGAGTTACTCCTGGCTCATGCACTCAGGAATTACTCCTGGCAGTGCTAGGGGGACCAGATGGGATGCTGGGAATCGAACCTGGGTCAGCTGCGTGCAAGGCAAACGCCCTACCCGCTGTGCTATTGTTCCAGCCCCTTAAGATATTTTTAAGATAGTTTCCTTACATGTTTTATATTTTTACCTTTGATATTTTGGTCTTAATCAAAAAATTTTAAAAATGATTTTGACCATGTATACAATCTTGGACTTGTGAATGTCTTATGTTAATACAACACTTCTTGGACTATTATTCTTAGTGTCAGAAAAGATGTGTGTGTGTGTGTGTGTGTATGTGTGCGCGTGCGTGCTCACACGCCATATCCCCCCAAAACTATAATGACTTGGTCTTTCGTATTTTTGTAACAATTTTAGAGTCAGCTTGAAAAAAGTCTAAAATATTCTGCTGGGCCAGGGATGTTGCTCCTTGTCTTCAAGTCCTAGATTTGATCCC